GTGCAGGATTATAAAAATATGTAAATGTGATAAAAGACAGGCGTGTATGTATCAAAAGCAGGGAAAACAAACATCTTTTTTTAGTATAAATTTGAGAAGTTGTTTTTCTAACATATAAACAATACGTATAGAGGATATCATTAAATAAATGTAACCCAAATAAAATTTACATAACCAGTTATCCATAAATTCAATTATTTCACAACAGCAACAATATTTCATCAATATAATTTATTGTCCAAATTAATGCATATAAAATTATAGAAAATTAAGAATTTGAAAATAATTGAATAAAAAAGGAAATGAGAATTAAAATATGTTTGATCTTAGATTACAAGAATTAAGTCTGTATGCTTTATGCATCACATAAAGACATTTTAGTGCTTTTACGTTTCTTTTTAAAAGATACGCTAAGGTATTCGTAGAGCTAACACGCTTTTTCCACATACGTGCCAAAATATTTGAAAGATAAATTCAGGGTTAACTTTGTTACTGTTATTATACTTTGTCTGTAGAACATATTTCTATATAAAAAATAAATATTTTTATGTTGCATTTTCTTTTCACTTGCAATATTCTAAGAAAAACTTTAATTTGATTATCATTTCTTTGTTATAGTTCAAGCATTCTTTCAAGAATGAATTATGCAGGATATAGTTTTTAAGAATATTTAACATATCCATATTCTGCTGAGAAGAAGATTGACTAAATTGCTTCTAGATATATTGTCTAACTTATTGTATTGACTTTCATATCAATTTGAATGAACTTTTGTAAATTGTATCGGTTACCTTACCAAAACGGTATCGAGCTATTTTGGGAAGGCATATTGAAAGAAGTCATAAGTGTGATAAATAAAACATGGGATATTTTATTTGTTATGCAGAACATATGTAAGAATAAAATGTGTCTTGATAACAAGTGTATCCTTTCATGAATTTTGAAAATTGTAATTGTTAGTTTGATTTACAAAATAAGTTTTAGATATAGGGTCTACTTAACTTACTGCATTGACTTATTAAAATATTTTAATCCGCTTATATTAACTGATGACTATTATTGAAAACTGTTGTTTTATTTTCATTGTAGTATCAATTTTAACATCATGCTTTCTCCAATTTTTGGGGGCATAGTATTTGTCCAAATTGTAAAGTAAATATAAACAACAAATTTAAAATTTAAAAAATGCTGGTATTTGTCCTCGTTACAATGAAACACTGAAACAAGTTTATTTCATATGTAAAAAGGCAAAGAATGTTCTAATGTAAACATGGCTTAGGCAGGGTATGTTTTGTTTTAATAATGACTCGCAACTTTTCCAATTTTGTCGTTCTGGTAGTTCATTAGGGAATTAATTTGTTTAACATTAATTTCCCATAGAAAAGAGTGAAACAACCATTAAATTGCATAGTAGTCACTGACTTACAAGAAAACACTTGATTTTGTAAGGAAAACATCTACTTCTTTGATGACTGTTGTTTTCCCTTAGCAATAGCAACGAGTTATGTTCTTACACGTAAACTACTTCAGACATTAATATGAGCTTTGTGAAATCGGTTAAATGTTGAGGTTTAACATCTGCTTGCGTTTATTGTTTACTTTATTACTTGTTCATTGCCATTAAGAGTATTTATATTCAGGTGAGCGTTATGACCCTCTTGTTTTCCTATCAAAAGTATAGTGTCGCCTGACATCAAATGCAAAATATTTGGTTCTTATAAGTAGAACGTTTACTCATTAGCCAACCTCCTCCCCTCAATAGTCTATGCTTTTCGTGCTTTGCTATTTTGATTAAACATTTGGCCACTATCTCCAAAGGTTATGACATAAAAAGACACGCTTCACAGAAACTATATATGATATCAATATTTAACCAAAGTCTTTTATTGCATAATTGTCAAACTTGAATTGCTTAAACACTGATAAAGTATCTGACTTCTCAAATAAATACAAAGTTGAAACAATCAAAAGAAATGCTCGCGGACACACCGAATTATATATTAATAAATTGCATTTCGAATGAAAAGGATAAATAAATAATATAAGCATACATACAGTTAACTTAAAAAATATTGATATTTTTTCATCTATGTGATGTTTTGTTTTTCTTTTTAAAAAGATTGTAAATCTTTGTTGTATGACATGAAATATTAGACTTTAAATTAGGGGAAGGCAGATTAAAAACGATTTCAAATGAAAAAGTTGCGTTTACAACATACGATAAATAATCAATAAATTACATTCCATTTAAAAGGGTAAAACAATTATTTTCAAGGAAATGTAATGTAATGTAAAATGGAGAAACGTAATAATGCAACCAGTATTAAAACACCTATGCGCAGTCAACTGCTAGGAAATCTGCATGTTCTTTCTTAATAACCATTTAAATTTCACTCGAAATAAGTTTGTAATGTGTTTTATTAGCATGAGTCAGGCTGTGTGAATTGAATACAACATTCGACTATATGTTGCCACAGGGACACATTAGTCAATACAATGTGGTTTCCAAAACAAATCGAACATGACTTTTTGAATTTAATGAAGTTATTCTGTTATACTTACATACACTAAACATACTCTGTTGCAACAAACCAAAATGCTCAAATTTAAGTTGAGTTTTGCCGCCCGGTTATGATGAACACTTATTTAGAGTTTTTCTATAACAACTGCTGGGAATGCCAATGTATTTTCCGATGATCTTTTTTCTCTCTCTTTTTTGTAACGTAATCTTTTGCCAATATTTTTTTTATTTTACGTAATTTACATATTGTAAATATCTGTAACGACTTTAATTAAACATTTGAAAGGCATTACAATGGGGACATTTCTAACAACTTGTCAATCAAATTGTATGCATAATGTTAAATAAAATGCAATCAAAAAGGTCTTTTGACAATTTATCATATTTTATGTTATATATTATATCATTTTAGTATGAAGTTATACAAAAGCCATCATGTTGATAATCATTTCTTTACCTCTTGGAATGAAGCTTTAAATAAAATGTTTATAATAAATATTTCCATCATACATACCTCCAAACACTGAAACAATAAAAATGATATGAATATTTTTTTTAATAAATCACAATAATGTTAAGGAAATGCTTTGCATTCATAATGAACCTCAGGTATGTAATACAACACTAATATACTAGTGATATGCTTGGTTAAAATTGACTGATATTTTCCTTACTAAGCGAGTTTCACTATATTAAATATGTTTTAAAGTGGGCAAGCTCAAAACTATGGCTGTTCTAAATTAGCGCGAAACTATTTTTCATATATTTTCTTTTTGCCTTTAGACGTTCCATTACTTCCATTTTTTATAATTGGAAAATTGATAAATTATCTATATCACTTTTCCATAGATTTTCCATAAACCGAATTACTTGGAACATTAACCAGTGACTTTGAACATTCGCCAGTGGCTCGCATAATATGATTTTATTCAGCTCGTTCATTAAATTTAGTATTAAACCTACACCCATTCAACATCCTCTTTATAAAACAAGTTGTATAAGTTCATTAAAAGCTGGACTGAATATGGATATAGAAATTATTGTTTGATATGCGATATGTCGTAAGCTGGATAAATCTATATATAGATTATATTGATGCATTTAAACCAGGGCAGTCAACAAAGATCTCGGGACCCGATTAAAATTATAAATATATGTGGTTGAAGGGGAAATTAAAATATTACTTATGCTAAGTCTAAGCCATCATGCTTGAAAATTGGACACCAACCGACAACCAATCGAATGTAGGTGATGTAAGTCATATTTCACCCTGCACTTAAGGTATATTATGTCAACAAACCCTCCTGATATAAATGGCTTTAATTTGATAAGTTATTATGCTTAATACGTTTATTTATATTAATACAGTCATAGGAATACTTTGAAGGGTGATACGATAATATACCTAATATATATAAGTTAAATACGTATACGTGTTTCTGTAAGCGCTTTCAATGCTTCAGACAGTAACGAATAAAATAATTATAACAAAAATAACAATAACGTCACAGTATAAAATTGCGGGAAACATAGATATACGACGCAGCGCGGAAAATAAAATATTCTCTTACTTATCTATATCGGAATATAGAATTGTAAAAACATTCTATTAAAGGGAGGTAATAAATACGTTTTGAAATTCAAAACATTGACTTATTATAAAGGTAAATAAAAGATGTGCATTACTCAGAAGTACTGTTTAATAGGTATGAGCTAATCGTGTAAAAACCTTGTGATTTTTATGTATATAAGGTTTTTATTAAGGCAATTACAGATACATTACGCGTAAATTATGTAAAATATACTTACTTAAGTGTGTTCCACATGATAAATATTAAAACGGGTTCGTAAATATGAAGGTCACTGAACTTTAATAATAATTGATATACATGTATTATTTCAAGCTAGAAACAGATATATAAGAACTTGATTATAGTTGGTATCTTATAGTTTGGTTGTCGACAATTTAATGTTAGATGATTAACTATTGCCTACATATTTGTGTGGAACATGATCGTTGGTGATTAATCTATTAGTATTTGTGACAGCTGATACGATAGTATACTATGATTGGTAAAAGCTTATATATAACAAAAAGATACTATGTATTAGTTGGCACATATGTATTAAGATGACTGATGATATTTGATATATACGTTCTTCATGACTGAAGATAATTATTATATAAGTATACAATTATTATTGTATGCAGATTTATTTGTATAAGACAAACTTTGAAAGCTGATACATAATAAAAATAAATCTAAAATAGTAGATACTTCTGTGCAGGATGTTCGATGGTATATAAGTACGACAATATTGACGATAATTAATATATCATAATCATATGCTTGATTATAGTTGATATATAAGTAATAGCTAATTAGTGACAACTGATATATACGAAACAGGTTGGTATATTTACATAGAATGATCGGTGATATTTGATATATCAGTATTTTTTATCATAGTTGAAATGTTAGCTGATGTGTGAGGAAAAAAGTGATAATTAGGTATAAAGCTATTGTGGATATACTAGTAGATCTATTTCATTTATATGACTTGTGATTGTAAACATATTAGTATAAAAGTATTGACTATAGTTGGTACATTGATATTGGATGACTAATTATGTTTAAGATTTTAAACGGATGACTGATCATAGATCACATATAAGAATAGGACGATTGGTGCTATTTGATATATTAAGATTGTAAATGAATAGTATACAATAACACTGAAACAGTTATCAATTGGTGGTATATCAGAAACGAAGTATCACACTATAAACAAACAAGAAAGACAACATTTCTGTCTGCTAAATTGTTGTAAGAATGAATCTTCTTCATGTAAACATTTATCTTTATCACGAAAACCATTGCAAACAAATGTCATTTAATATAAATGAAATCTTCATAAATTTACTTACATTGTACAACTGATTTTATCTCCCACTTGCCACGATTGTCGATGCTTTATATCGCTGGCACTTCCATTTTTCTGAACTCTAAATAATTTGCCATGTTTTAGAGCAGCAATGAAAAAATTGCACTTCATATTTTCTAGTAACAATATAATATCTTAGATAGAATACCTGAATGTATATGACATGAAAATCTTTGAAAATCATATGTTATAATGGATGCAAATTACCTCGATGTTTAAACCTTATCAACATATAAAACATACGATGTTATATGCATATTCTATGGGCAATATTATTAAGAATACTTAGTAAAATGTTTATTTATTTGTGAAGTTAATTGTTATCATGGGCCACCGCCCATTTGCCAATTGTCAATTTCGTTTAATAAGCAAACGCCCAATACGTCCGGTTTGAAGCTTTTTGCTGGCCACTCTTTTACTGTGTTGAACCTTTGAATCCTGAATTTAAGTATAATCTCAACAAATGAATAAAACGTTTTCTTAGCAGTCGATAAATCGTCCATCTTAAATTGAATCACTTATACACAAACAGTGTATTGTATTTATCATAATTATGTTTAAATTATTCTCATAAAGCTGACTTTGTAAAAACAGTGAAACGAATGAAACATGTTTTTATTTTAATCTGAGGTCAAATAAAATACTAACTAATAGGCTTAAACTGTTTGCTTTTAAAGTTTATTTTCCATTTAGTCGCCTAAATGTCAATAAGTGATGAGAAAAGACGACTGTGCAGATAAATGAGTGAGTAAAACATAAAGTTGTAAACACATACTTGCCATCTGAATGGAAAGCGTAGGAATTTGTTCCTGCACCCGGTAGAAGGCTATTAGGATAACTATCTGGTACAACGCCAATTGCTAGAATAATACAGAAATAATTCAGTCATGTCTTCTATTTGAAATCGGCCTTAAATGAAACTTTTACTTTACAACTAAAAATAAAGAAGCTTATACTTTAGTTCGATTAAGAAATTAAGCACAATATGACATGCAAAATAATTTTTACTGCTCCATTTTATTTTCTCATAATCAAACAAACGATATGAATTGAAATACAATTTCCATTCCTTTAAACTGTTTGTTTGATTACAGGATTATGAATTGTGTAACCTATCTGATGAAAATTAAAAACCTACTTTATACCATTTGTCATTTGCAATATATATATATATAAATGTTCAGTTTATTTGGGCTTCATGACGATAGGGTAACATGGTTAGACTGAAATATATCATAAAAATGGGATGCAGAAAAGCCGACCAGCTGAAAATGTCTTTTAAGACTCGTTAAGGTGTTTTAGTCATTAAACAATGATTTGATAAATGACAAATTAAGGTTACATGGCGCTTGGACTTTTGATATAATGGAAAATCGTATGTAACCTTTTACCTATAGACCCGCTAGTGCCAATGCTTACAATCTCGATTTCAAAACTGTCCAAATGTTCAACTATCTTCGTGTCAACAAATAAACCAAGGTCACCTTTTGCTTTTTCAGAATAACTAAAAAAATCAAATTTATGATATTAACTAGTCTTATATTTAACTTTAGCAATATAAAAACATATAAAACATTTGTTTTGTATATAAGTGTGCTTTCCACAAAATGATTGTTAAATGCAACCTCACATCGATTCAACTTAATTATGTAATTACATTTGTATGCTAACAAGTATGTCCTTACACATTTAGGTTCATTTACTAATAATCATAAAATGTATATCATCAATAGGCAAGTCCAAGTTACTGTAAAATTAATTTTTATGGTACCTCATAAATGCTCCGTCGATGTTGAGATTTTTGCAAATGAGTTGCCTGTCAAGTAAATGCTGTAAACAAAAAACATCTCAAAATAAGCAAACATTAATGTGTGTTATAAAAGATTACATTTACATTAGATTTTGTCAAAGGGATGATTTTTTAGTCGAACGAATGATAAACAAAACATATAAAACTAACAACACATTCTAATAATAAAAGAAAATACTTGATTTTGATTTGTTGACGAAGCTTGAACCTTTGTCCTCAAAGTATTTGTGTTGGTTTGTACTTTTTCTTCTCCACGTGCTGATTTATATAAAAACAAAAAAACGAACAACATATCACTGTTGTATAAAATCATGTAACAAAAGTGTGAATTAGAAAATGGAAATCCAGTATTGCCTCACATGAAAATAAGGAGTGTTTTACTGGATTAAAGTTGATATAAAATTACACAAATTCAAAATGTTTAATCATGTTAGTGTCATCAAAAATGGAAAATAGTTTTAAATATACCTGCATCAGATTGCTCTGGTTTATGTATAATTCCTAATTGATTACGATTTTTCATCAACTGTTCGAGGGTACTGTCACGCTTGAACTCGTACGTTTCAATCGTATTATTCTCTTTGATTCTTTCTAGCTGGTCTCGGATGAGATGGAGATTTTGTTTGTACGACAGGAAAGTGATGAACAACTTGTAAGGCTGATCAGCTTCTGATTTTAATGTGTCTCTCATACCTTTTGTTTCTTCAACTATGCTTTCATTTTCTTTTTCTAGGTTTTCGATTTTTGTCATGTCTGCTGCCATGATATCATCTCCATTTCTAAGCATTGAATCAGCAAGTTTTTTGATATGTGAAATCATTTCATCCCTGAACAATTTGACGTCAGTAACAAACTTTTTGTTGACATCTTTTACATTGTCCTTAGTGCTCCTGATGTTTCCTAACATCGTTTTTGCTTCACGGTTATGTTTCTTTGTGTCAATTTTTAACTTTTTAAACCTTTTACTGACTTTATATCCATCGATGTGTTCAAGTATATACTCTACTTTACAGGTTTTATGGGAGATTACCACACAATCGCCACAACCTACTTGGCGATGTTCGGGACAGAAAAATTTAATATCCCCGCTAAGATGTTTAGTGCATTTATCGAAATTTGGTGTTTGTTTGGTTTTCAATTCAGCTCCGACTGATTGTACAAGTCTATGCTCCCTGTTAAGCTTGAATTGTTTGTGTGTATCAAAACATATCTGACACATTTCTTCTTCGCATTGTGAACAGAAACCATCCGAGTATGTCGATTTCTTAAGTTGCTCGCAAGGTTTACAATAATTTCGAAGTCTCTTGCCGGATACCTCCATATTTCAACAGTGGAATGATCTGAAAACAAAACAAACATGTTTATCCTTTCACGCTATTTCCGTTATATCGAATATTAAAGTTTCAGCAATTATTATATTTTGTTATTTCAGAAAGTTGCTTAAAACAGGAAACAGTAGTAAATAATGTGAATTTTTGCTAAAAATAAATTTTCTTAAAAACAAAGATTTTGTTTAGGATAAAAGAGAAAAATCCTGGCATTGTTAACCATTTCACATAGTCCTTCATCTGTCTTATTAAGTATTATTTTATTTCGATGACTTTCAATGAATTTAAAATATTTTGACCTGAAGGACAGGAACCAGATACAGGATGTATTTGTACGACTTAGCTGTATGGTATAATATTTATGAAATATGTTATTGGGTTAAAATATTTGTCACATATTTTCGGTTCGATCATTGTAAAGGTATTCCAAATTAGATTTGAACTATCATTTACGATTCATGAACTGGAATTTTAACAACAATTACAAAAATAAACATTTTATCTAAATAAGTTTAATTGAATAGAAAACGTTTATGATCTAACACCAATATATGACATACTTAAATACTTATTTACGTTAAGCTAATGTGCACAAAATATAATGAAATTAATCTTAAATTATTTGCATATTATAGATATAACCGAATTTATCAGTTCATGTTAATAAAGGGAGGTAATTAGAAATTTATTTTCTATAAAGTCAATTTTTTCAATAAGAAATGAATGCATATATTTTAATGATTACATATTTTGTGCACAAATATTTGCAATGCATATTTTACATATCTTCTATGTTTGAAAATTGTTTAATAAGCATAATTATATATATATATATTATATATTGAGATCTCGTTACAGATATTTGGATTTTTCAGTTCAGAATATCATTTAATTGATATTCTAGCAATGTAAGTTCTACCACTCAAATTATAATTTATTTAATTATCGCACTAATATTGTATTGGTATATATATTACGTCAAATGATTCTTAATACTTTTAATAAATAATAGAAGATTTAAATCAAATGCAAAGTATGATTACAGCAGAAATGCAAGGCTTTGTATAGTTTTCATTTTCACCAATTCTGAAATCAGATAAATTCAATATAAAGCATATTTATCTGTCACACTAATTCCTAAAACTTACAATAAAACTCATTAAGTTAATTATTTTATTGCTTTGTACTGATACTCTTACTAATAGCGATATGAAACATCTGTATTATATCTAAAACGTCGTAGTTTGACATTTTATAAGCTTAAACTGTTTGGTGTAACAATCAAAATGCTAAAATATGAATTTATTGATCTCTTTGCAAAATGACTCGCTTCTGTCAAACATATCTTATTCTTTCAAAATATCTGTATGTCGTATAAATATTGATCATTGCTTGTTTTGAATACACATGATCTTGAATTTTAAACACAAAGCTACGAATCGAAGCCTGTATATTGACATTGATTGTGAGCGGTAAATATCGTTGAAGCAAAGCATGGACATGAAAGCGCAATTGAAATCTCGAATAAATGGGCACAAAATGATCTTTAAAGTGTGGTGGTTCAGACCCCTGATGTGGCTTAAAGTTTGTAACACCCGAGGTTAGCCAAATGCATATCTCCTGTTTCGGCGCCGTGTGACATAAACTGTGTAAGTGCGCCGTAAAACCGAATCAAACAAAAAACCATTCATCCGGGTTTATCGACAATTTTGTCAGAAAACGCCATGAACATGAAACATTTATGTATATCAAGAGACACTTTATGTCAAAAAGTGGTAAGGTATCGGTGAATTATTATGTGTGTAAGTTTTCAAACAAATTGATGCTTCCGAAGAATATTTTGCAGGTAATAATTTTAGAATATTGTGAAATGATTCAATATCCTTTCTGCTGTACTTTAAAAGATAAATTTAAATGAAAATGTACTGAGTGTATGATAGGAACAAATTTTGCTATATGCATTTTAACATGCATGGACCTATTAAAACAGAGAATCCTCAAAAATTGAGTCGTAAACATTACATGATTTATCATAATAATTGTTGATATGGTTGAATGCTTAATATTGACATCAAGCGATGACTATGTGATTATCGAATTCTATTGTAAGATTGCATTTATCTTGGGGTGTTTTTTTTTAAACAGATTATACAGAGGATATTTGTTTGTTTGTGTGTAAGATGAAATTTTATTTCACCGAATGAGCTTTAAAAAACAGTATTCTCACGAGTGGCGTAGCCTTACAGCCTCGACATTTTTTACCAGAAACATCCCTCGCTGTCGCCCCAGCCACTGTTATACCCTCGTAAATAACTCTTTTCATATACTATAACTATTGCTTAAATGTATTATCTCGAGCTATCGACAGCATAATACAACACATAAAATGGGAAAATGATTATCAGTTTTTCATTCAATATATAAATATCATTAAATTTCAAGATAAAATGTCGTTTGAAATTTAAACTAGCTTATTCTAGGTATATGTGTTTGTCTTACAGACTGTGTGTTGCAAAAATGTATCCTATGTACACAATGTTAATTCGAACAGAGAAATTAAAACATTTCAAATATCATTGTTCGCAGTTACCGTCGTGCACTAAGTTTAAAGTTTACAGACAAATCGTATATACTTTCTTTACTGACAGAATATCAAACTTTAAAAAAATAACATATCAAAGCACAATGTGGCCATACTACGTGACTTTTGTGGATACGGTGCGCGCTTATTTTTCATCGATTCAAGTATGTATTTTATTCATAACTTTGCTGTTACTCAACCGACTTTGATCAGATAAGGCGCTGAGTACCCGTAATTATAGCTACCCACGGTATATCAAATTTTGAAAACACCTGAATAGTTTTTGAGAACATTCGGGTACAGTTTTGTTTTCATGGCCGGGGCCGAGGGGAACAGTACACACTCATTTATCACAACAAGCGATTCCTAGCAAGGCGTCCGCTCTTTTCATTGCTTCCTAGAAAAATGAATGCTAAATCTTGTATATTTACAATGTGCAATGTATCTAGTGAATGTAGCATACTTTCATAAAGATATATTGAAATGGTACGGAACACACTGTTATTTCAAAAGATACGGTACACATAAATTTTAAGTCTAATTGAAATAAATCTGAAAACAATATATAAATTTGCCTTAACTTAAAATGTGAGTGTAATTTTTTTTTTTCAAATTTATATTTTTCAATCCTATGTGAACGCTGGAGACCGTTTTGCAAGGTATCATTACACTAAAAGCTTAATGTTAAGAATCATTTAAAATCAAAAGAACATTTTAATAGAATTCGAGCACAATCCGATTGTATAATGTTTTGCAATTAATATTTTGGCTGTATCATGTTAAAGTACAAGTTGATCCATAGCAATTTGAGAAAACGAAAGTAGATATTTGGAATCTAACTTTTTTAAGAAATTGACTGGTATCAAAGTATGAGGGATATTTCAAAGTCATCATCTAAAATAGTTGGGATGGGGGATTTAATGGCATAACGAATAACAAATATGATCCTGTTATCAAACATATTCCATGTTAAAAGCTTTCGCAGTGTGAAACTAGTATCAATCTCTAAAATATATAGATATATTAAAGAAATAATTTTTCGCAATCGGTGATTTTATCGGTAAATAAGATCATATATAGTAATTATAATAATGATAATAATGAAATTACCGATTTTACAAAATAATTTACCATTCATACAAATTATTTTCTTTAACATATCACAAAATCTCACGTAGCAAATAAGCTTTGTTCTTTTGTATTGGTAATGACAGAAATATTGCACTTATTAGTTGTACGAAACAAAACTCTTGAGCCGCATTATCATAAAAGTTATCCAAACGTTTTAAAAAGCGCGATAATCTATATGGAAAGCAAAAATCGCGCATTTCTAAATTTTGTATATTTTGATTTTTTATGTTTCATTCAAATGTTTATCTTATAGATATTTATTTGGTCATTATAGATACATATTTAATTGATTCAGGGAATCATCAATATAATTGACATATGCTGAACAACAAAAGTTTCAGTCATGCAAATAAAGTTATCTAAATGTTTGCTATAAAAAAATTATTAAATGCTCTCAGTCATAGATCATTGTCTATTGAGAAGGTCATAAATGTTCCCCTTGACATTTATAATATGATGTTCCGTTATCTCTTTAGTGCGTTATGAACTAAAATGATAACTGCGGCTTTTTTATTCAAATTTTTATTTCGTTCTTTCTTTCTTTCCTTATTTGATAAATTCCCTTCAAGTAAATGCTACACTTATGATATAGAAACTATCTCGAATAAAAAATGAATTTGAATTAGTCAAGAAAACAGAACAAATATAGACGAATACCATGTAAATATTTCAATAACATACGTAAATACGCAACTTAAAAATAATTGTTGAGAGCGTAAATGTATTAAGACATAATGGAATTGCCGCATAATATGAATAATCATGATTGTATGTTATCTTCCAAGTTAGTTGTTATTATTTCGAGATTGTAAATTACAAACTATGCAAATGTTATCTATAAACAACCATTAGCTATAACCCTGTACTGTTCATGTTTTTAAAACCAATTTTTAGGAATTACCAATCTAGATATTATTCTTAAACTTCTTAAACTGACACTGAAGTATTTGATCTCTGTAATGTATAGCAATCAATATACTGTTATCAAATGAACAATTATTGATCTATCTTCAGAATGACAATATGATTACTCGTATTTCGTTTTAAATGAAAGTTTACCTTATGTCAGATTAAATGATCGACCATTATAGCATTTGCCGTTAAAGTATAACTTTCATTGTTAAAGTTTAGTATTTTATTTTCAATAAATTTAAACCAGTACTACAATCATAGTCTAGGTCGTTCAATTTCCTTTCCATTTACAGTGGTGATAATGCACAAAACATATCTATAATACTTATTTACGAATTTAAATGTTGTCATAACAAAAAAGCTGTTTTCGGACATCTGATATATTTTCAACATAATAATGTATGTTCCTGATAGTTTTTTGTTGTTGAAATAGACTCGAATAGCCAAGAATGTACCAAAGTAGCTATTGCTTTTTTTATTAATGAATGAAATTTTTTAAGTAGATCTTCAATTTTGTAAACATATTGATTTTAGTCATGAAAGACCAGATATTTCTATTTATTTATTTTGCTGTTACTGGTTGTTATGCTATCTCTGGTAGAAGTAGATATGTTAAGCTGAAACTTGAAATATAAATGAACTATAGCAACTGTAGAATTTTATATGATTATAGTCTTTTATCGTGGCATTAATTGAAATTATTATTGGTATACAGATGAAACATAAAAATACGATATAGGTCGTGTTTATACTTGGCGTCAGATATGACTTTGTATTGATATTTTAATTCAAACATTTACCTTTTTGTTAATATCGTTCATGCTGAAAACACGCATATTAAACATTTTTATGATTAATGATTTTTGTTAGTAGGATCAATGAGCGTTTATTTATCATTTATTGATATATCTTATTGAAATACTAAATAGTATTAAATTAAAGAAGCTTTAATTATCTTAAAAGAATATCTATTGGCTAAATGATATTTTACAATGAATGAGCATTAAACAAATTTTGTATTATTTGAAGCCAACATGCACACTTGTTTACAAACCTGTTTTCAACAAATGTTTGCTGAAAAATAAAATCACGTGTTTTGTTGAATTATTCGAGTTGCACGCAAATAGATATAAATAAATATGTACATGTATATTGAAGACATTAATTTTAAGTTGTTAAAACAGATGTGTCTTTTAATTTGTTTTGAAACAACACTAGGGTAAATTATATTTACTTAAGAAGAGAGCATTTTAGCTTTTTACAAAGAACTTGCTAACAAATAAGTATAATTTCAAAATAAATATATTTGTCCTCTAATAATCATTGATTGTTGTTCGATCTTTCTACAGACCTCCTCGTTATTCAACCTTTAAATGTTGAACCTTTTAACATTAATCATAGAAGAACAGTATTGATTGTTAGAGTATCATTTAAAACAAAATAGTTGAATAGAAAACAGTATTATAGTCACGGTTACAATCGTTTTATTTTCTTTGCACTTACAAAATAAGAAATACACTTAAAATATTTTTGTTATAAACTGGTTTGAAACCGATACATGTACATTGATATCTGATAAATTTTACGTGATTTGCATAATTGGTTAGAAAGTAGACAAGAAACTCCTTATTCACCCTTACACTTTATAGCATAAAGGATACGATTTAAATATAGAAATAATTCAATAAGCAGCATTATATTTAAACCGTTTTAAGTAAATTTCAGGCTATAATTTGTAGTTTTATTACGTACAAGAAGAAACGAAACTGCATTTTCTTCCAAAATAAACCGTCTTCTATTATCATATTTGTTTTTGTAATTGTTAAATAAGCGGATCAATGACTTCAATATGTAGTAAAATCATGATTGACTTCCCCCTGTCATGTGTCAATTATTTACAATAGAAAGACAAATTGGGTAATTAAAGGAAATATATATGATATTCCCACACAAAACGGGTCTAAAGACATCAACATAATTGTTTACTGTTATTCAATATGCATAGAAGTAAAGTTTGCAGTTTTCGCGAGATACCTGTCACTTAACGGTTGTTATGTTTCACATGACATAGTAATAAACATCCCTTTTATCACACCTGTGAAGAAGTTGCGAGTAGTGCAGCTTGTTGAAGGTAGAACTTACTTTAAACCGGATTACCGGTATATGTTCTTCATTTTCCTCTTTTTAGAAATAATGTTCTATGATATATTGTGCAACTCGATTGCTGGATAACATAATAACAAACGCACAATTGTTCTACCCGCAATAAACATACCTTCTTACAACCAGTTAACGAGTGTGTGTATGATCTAATTCTACATTTAAAAATTAAACGTCGCAAAGGTTTACAATTTCAGCATTATGAATATTGCAAAAACTTTACTTTTATAGTTTTTTTTCTTCTGACAAGACATGTATTAATCATCTAGTTCCATATTAATGACATTTATTTCAAAAACGCCAAAATTATGGGATATAAGCTTTAAAGTGCGAATCGTAAACAGAAAAATCGCTACCTATCTTCCAAATGAATGACTATTGTAAAATAAAATTATCTGAAAATTATATCGTTAAACTATGTTAAAGGTTTTGCTATAATTTCAACATTTAGTACATTTACAAATGGAAGGGAACATTAAGAATAAGAAGAAACGACTGCTAAAAATGTAAAACTAGTTTCTAAAACATTTTTATAGTGTAAATCTCATATTCATTATCAAAATCACTTCTCAGAAACAATCTGTGAAGAAATCGAAAAATAATACTAAGTTATAGGCATGGAAAAAAGTCTTACCCGTAACTTTAAAGTCTAAGTGCACAAAGAACAAAACAGCGTTAACACATAAACACCCACTAAACGATCTGAATAGGGACAACTGATATATCTAATACCGTATAGCCTAATACAATGTAGTATGATACATAAAATGTGGTTACTCTAAAAGGATTTAATACGTCAGTAAACATTTCCATTTGAAGCAGTACACACATTTCTTCTTATTAGATAAGGGCTTGCATGTGCATATATGTTCGACCACTATATTCTTCCGGGTTTATTGACATTTTTGTAAGTAAAAGCTGTGAAATATATTTTAATTTAAAAAAGCTTTTAAAAGGCTATTAAACACATCTGATTAATTAGACATACACGCGTTATATTACTTAATGTTAAGTTATCGGTGAATAATTATGCACGTTAACAACCTGGTGAGAATATTTTACATACCCAGAAAACAATTGTAGAATATAAATAAAATGGTTCAATGTTCATTTTTTCCTTTAGATTTAAAATAACGAGTAAACAATGCAAAGTTATGAAAGTGGTTTTGATAACCATACAAGAGCGTATGTTCCTTATTGTGCCTCCACAGAAACTCCACAAAATATATTGCTTGATATGAGCTGTATATAGAATAAAGTTTCTTTTTAAAAGGAAAGGCTTGCCCAGTTGTGCCATCAAAAATGATTTTTTTTGTAAAACCTCCTTAATCAACTCTTTATGATAAAGAAATAATTATAAAAAAATAAATAAATTGACCTTATATACAAGTAAAAAACAAGGTACCAGTGTTTTTACATGTATAGAGGGTCAGTTTGTCAATTTATTATCAATATTTTTTTAATTATTTTTATATCATAAAGGGTTTATTTAGGATTCTTTTTTTTTCGAAAAAAAAAGTTTCACTTTTAAAGGGGTAGGTAGGGTAACCCCAAGACTGGACGAGCACCTGTGCCCATTTGTGCCACCAGTGTTATGCATGCAAATTTGGACAAAAGAAGGACCAGAAGTCCACTGATTATAACTGAACCGGAACATGCTGACGATAACAGTAACAACTTTTTTTGTAAAAACGAATATTTTTTTGTCAAATACGATTTAAAATCTATCCTCTATTGTATAAAACTTATAAAGAAAATAATCAATTGTAAAAAAACTAACATTGGCTTTCCAACGTGGAGGAAATAAAAGTATCTATCTATCATACTGAAGGGAAACAAGTGTGTACATTTCTTTTTACACTTTTTTTTCGCAGAAAGAGTCATTCGTTTTGGCAGTTGCTAATTTCATTTCAATAGCATCTTTACAGACAAGTAAATGCGCTAAAATGTACCAATTAATATGCATGTATCAACTATGTTACACCTAAAATGTCTATGACACAGATATACCGACAACACAGGATGTGCTATCTGTAGATCAGCACGTGGTTAGGTTAATGATATGCATGGGCTATTTTTAGAAAGACAAAAATCAATAATGAGAGAAACTAACTATTGCGTCTTGAAAACGAATTGGAACGGAACATTTTCGTTTATAATTTATTTCTTCCTTCTAATTACGCTTTAAACCGATAAATCAAGTAAATATAGAAATCCTTTTTATAAGAACAAACTGGAATTACCGAAGTAACTAAAATAGCTTAGATTTCCGTAATATTACTTCGTCTGATTCCGCAGTATGACGGAATCGCCCGAATTGTCACGGTTGCAGCGGAAACATAGACTGGCTTCCCGTTCCACCATGCACTTACAATTGTAAGCAGGAAACCACCTAACCGGAACAAGTTTTCCAAAACAAATGGCTTGCGGCCGGCCAAAAAGAGTTATGATGCTTTACATTATCATTATCACCTAGTGATAGCTTCAAGTGCTTTTCTGTTTGTTAAAGATTACATGTATAAACATTTCCCTGTTCTATTATATTTTGATTGTATAAATATGATGAATATATATAAGATTGTCTTAGATCTTTCCTTTATGGACATCAATTATACACGCACACCTATAAGATTTGTCAATTGTATTCATATTTGATTACTCAGTAATGAATGAGGGTTGTTTTTCTTTTCCCTAAATTCCGAACAAAGTGCTAACAGTAATGAAGGTGTTATATCAAAACTGGAAGTGGCGAACATTTATACATGTAGCTATGTTAAATATTGGCATGAACTCTGCATACTAATATGCTATTATACCATCAACAATACTCTGTTATTTTTTTCTGTTGCAAAAAGTAAGGGGATCTAGTTGTACTTTTTGTTCAGGATGAACCTTTATTTAATTTTACTTTTTTCATGCATAAAAAAAGATAATTTGATATCTCGACAAAGACTGAGATCAAAGGTATCCAAAGATTTCCAAGGAATATTACAAGGGACTGAGTTCAAAATATCTAAGGATGGAGGTCATATAAGTATAAGTATCAAATATGACCAAGAACAGAGATTGGAAAACACTACTACAATCAATGGTCACAAAATATTTATATAAGCACACATATAAAGTGCTTTGACCGTCACAAGGACTTGGCACATAGAATACATCATAGGCCTCATATTAATCTTTACAATAAAACAAAGCGCTAACAAATCAATTTATGGAAGCACATTTTGAAAATTACCAACATTTTTAACTTTGAAATACATTTTGTCAAAAACTAAAGGTAATTTAAGTTTTTAGATTTAGAAATATACATTTCATATGGCTATTTTACTCTGATCCATTTCACGTGATTGTGTGTGTACAGGCTTGGATACAACGTGTGGAAAAGTCGGAAGTGTGACAGAATGTTGCGTTACAGAATATGTCAAGTCCTCCATTGTTATTGAAATACTTGAAATCTTTGTACACAAATCTTGTCTCGTGGGTAGACTGTGAGATGATATGTGTGTTTCTGTCAACTTCACATCTAGAACAAAATAGAACTATTGGTTATTTTAAAGTAAGTTTATCTAGTGAGATCTTGATCTAAAACCAAGTAATATTAGAATGCATTTAATGAATAAAGTGAGTTTCTTTTGTAAAAGATTGAGGCCGAAAAAAGGCCCCTTCCCATTTAAAAAACAAAAACGTTGAATATTTTTTATTGACTCCAAAAAAGAGTGCAGATTAACAATCAGCTGAAATATATATGGAAAACGTTTTATTATTTCCAGAAAGAAAAGGTGAATGTTTCAATAAATTTGTCAAATATTCCAAATAAATGTATTCTATTAGGATTTGTGACAAGTTTCCCAATATTAAAAGCATTGGCTGTTCCGATAAAAATTAAGTAGAAAATAACTAAAATAACTTACATGTTTTACAAATAAAGTTTAATCAACAATGGTTAATATAGACGGAGTCGATAAGTCCCATTACTTCCGTTATTATCAAATCATTAAGCGCCATAGAGTACCATAGGCACTTGGTTTCGGAATAAAATAACCCTTTGAGAGGTTTGTAGAACTCAAATATAATTGAATGTTACAATTTTTTTAACGTAGATGTCTCTTTTCTAAAACCGTCATTTTTCCGATATTACTAAAAAAACACAAGGTAGCTCAGTCGCCATTTTTATCCGCAACGGAAGTGATGTATAATTTACCGTACACGTACCGTTCCGAATCTGGTACCCGCAAATCGTATTGACAACTGCCTAGAAACCGGGCAACGGTACTATAAACATATAGTGGCGCCATAAATACAAATTCTGATTCATGTTTATTTATTATTGTTCTTTACAAGTGGTAATAAAATGGATGCAAAACAACAGTTTTGCGTAGATTCAGTTCTGAGCGGACATAATATAGTGTTGGTAGGTCAGGCAGGGACGGGTAAAACATATACTATTAGAGAGTGTGCAAGAAAAC